CCGCAGGTAGGATCACTTGGTGGTGTTCTTGCTGATGTCATTCCATTGATGAAGCTTGAGCCGCTCACCTACCCCTGAGGGTGTGGGGTGGACAGGTGTGGCACATAAGTGTCTGGAGCAGAGTGAAGACTTCGCGGTTGTGGGCTTCTACCCACGAGGCCAAAAGGTGGACATGCAATACGGCAAGCCCGGTGAGCGGCCGGCTTCCGACGAACGCATTCGTGCTCTGCCCCTGCCAGACGAGGACCCTCTTTTCGGTGCCAGTGGACCTTTGCTCACGTGCTGGCATCCCTTGAGCTGAACCTACAAAAGAAGCAAAGGAACAGTACAAATGACAAAACAAGTCTCCATCTGGTGGCTGTGGAGAGTGTGTGGCTGTTGGATACGGCCATACTGCGCAGAAAGCACCGCTTCCCATCCGAACAGCGAAGTTAAGCTGCGCCAGGCGGTGTTAGTACTGGGGTGGGCGACCACCCGGGAATCCACCGTGCCGTATCCTTTTGGCCTCTTGCTTGCTTGCTTGCTTCCGGCTTGCTTGCTTGCTTGCTTGCTTGCTTGCTTGCTTGCTTGCTTGCTTGCTTGCTTGCACCATCATTTTTTACCCTTCATGTGACCTCTCGCTCTCCCTTTGGCCTTGTGCATTCAGGTAGAATCCCCCTTGTATTGTTTGGACACACATTCCTCAGGTGACATTCCTCTGTTTACAAAGTACAAATACTGGTGCATTTTGAGTTCTTTCTGTTTCTCAGTTCAAAGAAATTATCCAAAGAATAAGTGAGTACTGGAACATAAAAGAGCATCCCAAGATATTGGCCACTAGCAAAGTGTCATTTGGCCAAAGTGCAGATATGGGAGTTGTTGTATTAGAGGTAGTGCACAGGAGTTAAAAGAGAACCAAATATTGATGCTTGGGGAAAGGGGATCAATAGGGAGTTGGCTTTTGCTTTGTGGGGGATTAGATGTGGCACAGCTCAGTGCTCTGGTGCACTTTGGCCAGGAAGCCCTCCTTGTTCTATTTCTTGATGCTCATGTCAATGCTGATGGCCAGCTTGGACTTGTCCTTGGTGGCCATGGGCTTGAGCTCCACACTGCCTCACCTCATTGAGCAGCTGCACCTTGTTGAGGCCTTTGGTGCCAATTGACCCCTTTGAGATTGGCCTGGGCAAACAACAGCTCCAGCCAGGTCTTGTCCTTGGTCTCAACATGGTCCTTAACACCTGCCATGGTGAGCATCATGCAGTTTGTTCTTTGTGCCCATGTTGATGTAACCAAGTGTTCATGAAAAAGGGTCAGTGACCCTTTTTGCTTAGCACAAAAATCAAGGTTACAGCCCTGACAATCTGTACATGCTGCCAGTGAAAAAGAGCCACAACCCTTTTTTGTGAACACTTGGTTATGTGATTGTTAGAGAGTGATGATGAAGTTGTGTTGGTGGCTGATGTTGTCTGGTTAATGATGAATGCCCCCACTCCAGTCCCTTTATGACCACTGCACAGCTGTTCAAGCAGGGAGCCTTTCCCACAAAGGAACCTGGGAATATCTTGCCCTCTCCAAGTGGTGCTGGGCCAGCTCATTCTTGGCCCACACACAACCAGCCTAGATAGTGATGGCTCAGCAGAATTTCACGCCAATTAGCCCTTTGGCACAGCTTTGTGTTCTTTTTGGGCATCGGACTGGCAAGGGATCGGATGGGATGGGCGATGAGTGTGGAGGTTGATGGATACGGCCATACTGCGCAGAAAGCACCGCTTCCATCTGAATAGTGAAGTTAAGCTGCGCCAGGCGGTGTTAGTACTGGGGTGGGCGACCACCCGGGAATCCACCGTGCCGTATCCTTTTTGCTCTTCCTCTACAATCATCATCAGGTCCTGATTTGGATCCATCTCTCTCTACTTCGATGTTCTTCATCTCTTGTTTCCTTTTGCTCACTTTTTGATCCAAATTGAGTCCATCGTCTTTCGGCTTTGCCGCTTGGGTGTTTACTACATAACCGTGCGCGGGTCGGGCAGGTGGGCTTACTGAGCGACGGGGTAGGGGGAGCCGGGCCTCTTGAAGGTGTAGAGTCGGTAGGTCTCCCACCGCTGCCCCGTGAACTGGCCCACCTCCAAAATGCGCTCCGGTACGGGCACCACGTGACACTCCCACCCATCTTCCTCCATCTTCCGCAGGAACGTAGACACTCCCTACATTGAATGCGCGACGCACAGTTAAGCCGAGCAAGGCACCGGATGCCATGGTTGACGATGACGATGACACGACGAGGCGTTGTGGGGGGAGCGTACGGTTCGGTCGTCGGACAAGACGTGGTAGAAGACGCCGTCGGGCTTGAGGTACTTCTTCACCACACGGATGAGCGGATCCACGTTCTTCTCCATGTAGGTGAGCTCCGACCCGAGCATGATGTCGGCCAACTCCAGCTCGGGCTGTGGAGGCCAGACGACAAGCCACGCGTCAGTGCGAGGGGGTGAGTGTTGGGTGCCAACGTGCAACAGTACCTGGTCAAAGCCGGGCTGATCGATTTCGTGCCAGTTGAGGTAGGCCGCGGTGGTGCACTTGGAGATGTCCTTGGTGGCGTTCAATCGACCGCCGTCCATTTCCACGTTGCTGTTGATCTCGATGTTGTACTTGAGGTTGTCAACCAACTGCATGGAGAGGGGGGTGGGCATTATATGTCAGACTCAGAGCCTATAATGACAACAAGCATAGCGTGGCGGATGTGTGAAAGGACTGTACCTCGGTAAGGTGATCGGTAAGCACTACGTTGGCCGCAAAGTAGGCAGCAGTCAGACCAGGCAACCCCACGCCACTGCCCAGTTCTAACAACGAGAAAGAGAGGAAGCAGCCACACGGTCAGATCAGATCATCGCCAGGCGCGAGTCTAGAGTTTGTTCCAAGTGGAGTGTCGGGCATGCGCGCGTACCGATCACCTGCTTGCCAGCAAAGACGTTCTCATTCTCGAGTATCCACCTGGTGTTTGATGGACCAAGCACATTTTGTCACACTGGCGGAGGAGCGGCGGCGGAATTAGGGCGGTACCTGGCTTGGATGATCGCGGCGTCCCACACAGCACAGCCCACGCCTGGCGTGAAAGGTCGGTCAAGGTCAGCCCACGCACTGGCAAACAAAGAGGAGGGTGCAGAGGCGTACCAGCGTCGACGATGGAGAGCTCGCGCAGGTAGGTACGTAGTGGTCAAGGAACAGCGATTGATTGAAGAGTTTATCAAATAGTAACCTAATAAATAATAAACCTTGGGGAGGGTTCCGCCCGGGCAAAGCCCGCAAGGTTAAACTAATAAATAATAATTACGGAGATTAGATAGATAATTAAATGAAGGAATGGAGGATATATTTCAAGCTCGGACCAGGCCTTTCGCTTCTTGTCGAGCTTGCCAAAGCCTACGGTGCGCCTCTTGCTCTTCTTGCGCCCGAAGATGGCCTCCCAATGGCCGAAATTAGGATCGTCGGTCGGCAAATGCGCTGTCAAAAACCCAACATCAAGTAAGATTCAGGTCCTTAATTCGTGCAATTGATGAGGTGATGCCGCACCCCTGCTCTGCATCTTCTGGTCACAATTTCCGGACGGCGAATTTCGCGATGTTCGAGCTTGCTGAGAAAAGCCAAGAGAAAAGAAATTTTCAGTCGCAAGAATCTGTGGCGCGTGAAAACCGGCCGCAATTTGCCGAATGAGGTGGCAACACCGTTGAAGTGTCGACGACTTGCCAGTTTGTGTCAGCAAAAGCTCACCAATGAGAGGCCAACGTTTAAATTGCCCATTACGACAAGTGACGGCATATGCGGAGGAAGTGGCCAATGGGCGAGTCGATTTGCGGACCCTCGTCGGTGATTGGTGTATCCGGGCCGATGCAATCTGGTAGCCGGTTTCAAGTCGGTTTATGGAAAATCATTTGAATATTGCAAGCGGGCTTTTGGTAAAGGCCACGTGGTCTGACGGAATGGTTGCTCCACAACGCTTCCTCGCTGCCTGGCGCCAGGGCCGGTGGCTGGGTAGACCGGCCCGCATCGCTGGCAACCGCAACTCCACCCCGCTTTCCCCCGTAGCGGCAGCCGATCGCAACC